GCTGCATAGAAATCGTTGTATGCCCAATAAATATGATTGTGCCACAAGAATGTTCACTCCTTTAGAAGCTGAAAAAGCGTATGCTTTGAAGCAGTGCTAAACCACGATGCGAGGAGGCAAGCTTCACACCCGTGTCCTTCGCTTGCCCCGTGTAGCCTTCGCAAGCCAAATCCATTCCCTGCCCGCTCCGGTACGTGAGTGAGAGGATCACATGGCGCAAACGCATGAGCACATCATGCACACACACGGTCACAATCGAGTGCATGACGTGCCCACAGCGGCGTTCTCTTCATATCTGTAAGCTATGCTGAATGTGCCCTCGTCGACTAGCGGTGTGCCCATTTAATCTTCCTTGGTTTTTCCGCATGCAGATTTAGTCAGACGTGGGAGGATAAATGGGCCTATTTATAATTAGCGCTGAAATATTGCGGAAAACAATAGTTTAGTTGTGAGGAGTGGCGTCTGCACGATGCGCAAAAATGTATACGAACGCATGCGGAACGGACGTGGTGGTGGTGGTCAAACATTTGATTGATTGATATATGGTGTTTAACGTCCCAAAACTACCGTTTGATTACGAGAGACACCGTAGTGAAGGGCGCCGAAAATTTCGAACACTTAATTGCGGTCCTTTAACGTGCACCCAAATCTGAGCACACGGGCCTACAGCATTTTCGCCTCCATCGAAAATGTAGCCGGGATTCGATCCCGCGAGCTGCGGCTTAGCAGCCGAGTACCTTAGTCACTAGACCACCACTGCGGCTGCGAGCAAGCAAACTCGTCATAACCGCCATGTTTGTATAACTGCTTTGAAGACGAGATATACGTTAGAACACTGCAATAGTTTTTGCAGACATGGGAATTCAACTCTTGAAATATCGCACTTCCTTGTATCGATGATATACTTCTGCGCATTATTCTGAAACTATAAAATATTTGTCGCCTAAATTTAGAGCAATCGAACTATAATTGACCTTTTCCGCCCACCTAATTGAGTGCCACGAAAATTTCAAATAAAGGTCGATCGAAACAAAGAGCGAAACCATGAAAGACGTCAAGAGGGAGGTCAGAGCACACGCACCGCGTTACTTCACATTCCTCAGTGACGCATTGATTTGCTCCGCAAAACGGCAACACCAATATCATGTTTCTCAATGTGCAAGAAAAAAGAAGTGCCTTCGTACGGGCTGCAATGGCGTCTCCTGGCCCAGATGGAATCACAGTATACCCATGATTAAAATTCTGTTCAATTTACCGCCTCGAGACGTCGCCAATGTTATTAACTACTCCTTAAAAAACTCATGGGTGCCACAGAATTGGAGGATAGCAAAGGTGATTCCTATACTAAAAAATCCGGGTGTAGGATTAACAATCGATAATATCAGACCAATCTCTCTAACATCTAACATGGTCAAACTAGTAGAGAGGGTCCTACATAGTCGAGTAAGTATCTGGATGGCAGACAATTTAGTAATAAAACCGAACCAAATCGGCTTTCGTATAGTGGTTTCTCTATTTGGTGTGCCCATGCTGATTTAGAAAGCCGAATACAGCTCGCGTGAAAAAGAAGGTAATACGCTGCTTTAGTAACGCTTGACATAGCTAAGGCGTATGACAGCGTGGAGCACTTCATATTGTTAAATACGCTAAAGAGATTGAACTTCCCACAATATTTTATTGAGTGGGTGGCAGAATTCTTAAAATCAAGAGAATTCTACTGCGTCAAGGATGGATGTCCCTCATCTAGCTTTAAACAAACGCGCGGAGTTCCCCAAGGAGCAGTCTTATCTCCAGAGAGAGAGAGGAAACTTTATTAGAACTTGGCCGGCAGCTTGGTCTTGGTGTCCTCAGATGGCGGCGCTGAGTCCCTGAACTCGGGCGGCATCTTCGGCCTGCCGGACAGCCCAGAGCTGGTCGTTGAGCTCCGAGCTTCTGAGCGCCGCCTCCCAGCGGCGGCGTCGCCGACGGAGAAGGTCCCCCGCGGCTCCCGCAGACGGGACGGCGGCGGGAACGAGTGAGCTCGAGGCTTCCCGTTGCCTGGTATTGGCAGCCGCCATAGGCGCATCGCGAACGGCGGCCGTTTCTCGACCATTGTTATCGGCGCATTCCCAGAGCATGTGGCGCAGCGTTGCTCTGTGCCCGCATGCTTTACATAGATCGGTAATGTGTAAGTGCGGGTAGCAGTGGCGTAAGACGACCGGGCTGGGGTAAGAGTGGGTTTGTAGTAAGCGATAGCTTACGGCATCGTGTCTGTTTAATTTGTCATGCGGTGGTGGGAACTTTCGCCTTTCCAGTCTGTAGTGTTGCGTAATATCTCGGAACGTGATGAGACGATCACCCCACGACCATTGTGGCCTGTGTTGTCGCTGCGTGTCTGTCAAAGTGTCTCGATCCGGCAGATCAGAAGCCCCGTTCTCGGGAGCGGAGGCGGCGGCCTCGGAATGTGCCGCGGCTCGGCGAGTGAGACCTCGAGCCGCGGCGTGGGCCGCCTCGTTGCCCGGAAGCGGGACATCGGTGTGTGCCGGGGTCCAAAGGAGGAAGACTGTTAAATTTTGTTGTGGCGATCGCGACGCTGAGTCACCATCACCGCACCTCTTAAGGATGCGGGCCGCTTCCCGCGAGACGCGGCCGCGCGCGAAGCCGCGGATTGCTGCCTGCGAGTCGCTGATTACGATCGTAGCGTTCGGCACCGTGGCGATTGCTAGGGCTATCGCGGCTTCTTCGGCCGCCTCCGTATGTCCCGTGGTCACCGTGGCGCTCGCGAGGCATTTGCCCGCACGGTCAACGACCGCAGCGGCGTGTGCGTGTCTCCCGTCCCCACTCCACTATTATTTAATACTTTAATGAGCACAATTGCGACAGATCAAGAAGTTACTGTCTACATTTATGCTGATGACATCGCATTCTTTGCTGCTGACTGCGGTATTTACTCACTATAACTTAAATTGCAAAGATATATTAACATGTTAGAAATTTAGTTGCAGTCCATTTCGTTATCGTTAAATGTCAACAAAAGTGCGCTCAAGGCGTTTCCGCTTGCAGAGCCTATTTCAATTTCAATTCTATATAAACAGGAACCCATCCAGCAAGTAGACTCTATAAAATATTTGGGAATCATTTATAATGACAAACTTAACTGGAGTCCACACATAGAGTATATAACTACCAAAGCTCAGCGGGCTTCAGGCTTACTACACAAGCTAAGTAACCGGAAATATGGGTTACGGAGGCACACCTTGATAACGTTGTACAAGATGTATATGCGCCCCATCATGGAATTCGGCTGCATATTATTCTCGGGTGGTCCTGCTTATAAAACGAAACCTCTAGTTGTCTTGGAGCGAGAAGCACTACGAATGTGTCTGGGACTCCCTAGATTTGTGGCTATCAACGTACTGTACCAGGAAGCGCGCCTGCCTACACTACTTTGTCGATTTCGAATTTTGACCGTACAAGCATTTTTAAAATTTTATAGCTTACCGGCAAGAAGATCTCAATATGCTTTTATTGCAAACCCAGACGCCTTCTTTCTTGCTCATTGGCCACGGTTTCACACACCTCAGATAATGTTTGTACAAAAGAATCTACAAAGTATAAATGTGAACATTAGAAATGTAATTGAGACTAATGACTCGAATTGTCATGTTAATATTGTGTATGATGATACATTCCCCCAAAACGTCAAGTTACAATCTCTCAAATTTTTAAATAACATAATATTAGATTACTTGGAGCATGCAGAGACTAAAAATATAATAGCTACCGATGCTTCCATAAATAACCAAAAGGCAGATGTAGGCATTGCCTCTGATTCGCTTGACTGGTCCTTTTCAGTGAGACTGCCTGATTTTACTCCAGTTTTTGAAGCGGAGCTCGTGGCGATTATTTTAGCTCTTCGAAAACTTCCATCAAATCAAAACAACGCAATCATAATGACGGATTCTCTTTCAGTTTGCGCAGCTCTGACAGCTTCAGAGAACTCTCGAATTCTAAGCACATTCAAAACATTAGTACCCCCGCAGTTGAGACTTCTGAGGTTACTATGGGTTCCGGGACACTGTGGATTAAGATTAAATGAATTGGCCGATTCCTTAGCACGAGCAGCACTTGATGGGCCAGTTTTATCCATACTGCCAGATGTTGAATATATTACGGCAATAAGATATCGAAAATCAGCAATCTCCACTGATACGATAGAAAAAGTAACTACATGGACAGAATATAACCACCTCATGTTTCCATGGCAACCCCACTGGAGCCAGTCCAGAAAGCTCGAAGTCTTAATTATTAAATTTCGATGTCGTGTCCCCCCCCGCCCCCCCCCCCCCCCTAAACCTGTATCTACACAGAGCTGGTCAAACAACATCACCCCTCTGCGCATTCTGCGAAGAAATGGAATCACTAGATCATTATTTTTTGTATTGTCGCCGCTACGCTATACTTCGAAAAATGTTACTAGTTATGCCATTTCTGAAAACAGGCGTTAGATTGACGGCGGAAGCGGCGCTAAGCTTTGGTGCCTCAGTTTTGGGACATTGCCACAGGGATGCTTTCAATGCCGTTTGCGATTATATTCAGGCAACCAAGCGTATACCTTTGTGATCTCCAATCAACAAATTATTATTTATCACGCCCCAGGGCAGAGTGAAGTAAACGCAGCTGAGTGGTAATAATAACGCCTCAAATCTCAAAATTGCTCAACTTGACTTTTTTTTTCGTTTGCTCTTTTTATGTTATTTTTTACATTAGCCATATTATAATACCAATTCATTACGCATAGGTAAAATGGTCACAGAAAAACTGCAGTACACTTTCTTGGCCAATCCCCCTGAGTGGGTATGAGCCAACATCCCAGGGAAACAAGCAAACAAACAACCAATGGCGGCTAGTAGCACTCGGCGAGACGACGGCACAGCTTCGGTGGCCCCGCCTTCGCCGCTGCATGGAACCGAAACTGACGCTGCCGACACTCCGTTTGTGGACGTCCTTCAGAAAGCGTCTGGCAACTCTGGATGGCAAATGGAAATGTAAAATGGCCGCCGAAGTGTTAATTAAGAAGGGAAAGAAAGGAGCGGCTGCATATTTTCAATCAGAATGCGCAAGAACAAACAACCCGAGGCAGCTGAACGAACTGCTGGACATCATTCTGGACCCTCGCAAGCCCATCGACATATGGGACACTATAGACTGGTGCAAATGGCTCATGGCCGGAGGCAAGACCCCCGACGAGTTCTCCCAGACAGGTAAGCAACCCATTCTGTTCTGTCGGAAGCTCGCGTTTGTCGAGGTGTCATACCGCAGGACTCGTCGCGTCAGTAGCAGAAGGCACCGTAGAGCGAGGACAGTCGTGCAACTCTGTAGCAGCATGGTTACAGTCGCAGCGCGATAGTTGTTTTCGTTCCAATCGCTTTCGCCTGTCCGTGGGACTCCACGGAGTCCTTGACGCGTAGGCGCACCTGCGTGTTAAATTGTACGAACCACGGGCGTGCATTTAACGCTGTTACAGCGCAGTCCGTGGTTATTTTGCTTGAATAGTCGTATTTAAATCTTGCCTCGCGTAGTTGCATCTAGGTTCGTTGGTTTTGCGCTACGAACGCGCAGAAAAAAAAATCTCCCTGTGCATCTTATTCTGACTAATCGGGGAGTGCTACGCGAGTCGCGATGTGCGCCTCCGAAAAAAAAAAAAAAAAAAGGGTTCCGCCTTCCGCTGCCATCAGCGCGTTGGTCATTTCGATGAATTAACGTGGCCCTAATTATTCGGAAACGATGCGAAAGTGACAGGTGCGGCGTCTCCGGCTGCCTCGTTCAGCCCTCTCGCAGTGATCGCGGATACGAGTCCCACGCCGACCGTCTAGCGCTCGCATCTGTTTGGAAACAACGACGTGCCCGAGTTGAATTCTGTGCGTTTCCGTCGATTCACGGCGTTTGGTGTTCACGGCACCCTGCTGGGCTGTCTTGACTGACGAGGTTTCGCACGGCCATGAGTTGGCGATGCGTTTTATAGCGATTGCGCAATCGCTTCCCTTCGCTAGATGCCAGCCTAATAGCCGACCGAACTTGGCACGCGCCTCTCCGCCAACTTTCTCTTGACGGGCCAGCAGTGCGATAGCTCTGCGGATCACTCGTTTGTTTGCGTGCAGCCGAGCGTTGTTTCGCACGTGCTACGGGCTAACCCTGTGAAGTTCCTGCGGAAATCTCGCCGTCACTAGCGCGTGACCGTGGGCCTGGATTTGTGATGGTGTTCAGGGCCACACCAGAAAGTGCTAAATCATATGTTACGTTGGTCTCCAGCTCAGGACTTAGTTCGAAAATTAGGCTCTGCATCTCGTCATATATGCAAATGTCACATATTAGTTCGCCCCTGCTTTCGCTTTGCAAGTAATAAAGGCGAGAATGCATAAGGTTTGAGAAGTGGTCTAGCTATTAAGGAAGTAATTTATTCATTTGCTTTCAAATACTGTCACCTTCAGAATAGGCATCTTATGCAGCAATCACAGTGTTCCTGCTACCTTGTGAAGATGGCTCATCTACTCCACCCATTGTGGGATTCTCAAAACGGGCATTGCTTGGTAATGTGTGGAGGGAGGGCTCCTTGAACTGTGAACACGCCTTGTCATGTAGACTAGTTAGGACTTGCAAATAGCACCTCTAGGCAGCTGGCTCCCTTGGGAGGGTGGCTGTTGCAGTGGCTGATTCTCTCTAACAAAGGGTGAAACCCAGTGCAAGAACGAACTGCGGTGAGGCTGGTAGTTATGCTGCTTCAGTGGAGTAGCTAGCGGTGACACACCGGGCCCGTGCTCCCCCTCGAAAACATTTTTTGCCTACACCCCTGCACCGCTTATGCTGTCGTGGAGTTGTTGGCTCCATACTACATCTCTTGCGGGAAAATTTCAATCAGCCAGCTTAACGATGTATAATGACTTTCTTGGGAACATGCCTACAATCTTAAGACAGAGGACAGGCAGACTCATTTAGCTGGGCATTTTTCTCATTCATTGGTGAGCCATGACACAAGGACAGAAGGATTTTTATGCGATACCGTTGAAGAGCCCATTTCACAGAAAATGCGCGATCAGTTATGGCATCGTGAGCTAAGGATCATGTGTCGTCTGACAGTGAAAAATCCTGGTGGATGCATAGTATAGCAGTCAAAGCTTGTGCCGAAATCGAAACCATGTGGCAGTTCGCGTGGCAGTTATGTATTCTACTGCAGAACCTCACAAGTGCTTGAAGCAGCAGACCGTGTTTAGTCATGTCTGGCAAGAAGTCAGACACCCGTTACATTGGGCTGAGCTATTATTCATAATTATCACTAGCAACAGGCTCAGAATCAGCAAACTGTGCTGCTATGTAGTGCATGTAGGCCTTACACACAGATCGAGAGCACCTTACAATTGTAATTGCAGTAGGGGCTCAAGTAGAGTTTACAACAACCAATGCCATGCACAGACTTCATTCCACCACAGCACGTCAATACGTCAATGTGTCCACTAAGGAGCAAAACTTAATGTATATAAAAGAACGTGACCATGGGCGCATGGAAACATTGAAGATGGTGTTGTGCATCCATGCACCGTTTTTCTCTGTGTTCCAAATAGAGCATATTGGCAATCAGGTTTTCACGCGATGCAAGAGCAAGCTTACTGGGGATTTCCGCTCGATCACCCCAGTGAGTATTTCAGCATTGCAACCACCCCCACTTTTCCTGCGTTTGCCTGGTCATCTGGCTGTCCTGTGGGACTGGTGAAAGCAGGCATTTCAGACTTACATGGAGGCTTCTCATGCTTCAGTGCTTCCAGCTGAACGCAGAAAAGCGATCCTGCTTGTCTGTCTAGGCATGGAGGGACATCAGATTTTCTCTGCCCTGAAGCCAGTGGACTTGCAGTCTGGCTATGCTACCGCTTCTACTGCCAGCACCTTTACTGCAGATGATATCAGCTAGACAAATTACGCATATGAATGTGCAATCGTCTTGCTTTGGGATCATTTCAAACGTTCAATCAGCGTCATCCTGGCTCGGCAACGGCTCAGTGTCATGCTCAGCACATAGGTGAGACAGCGGAAGAATACGTTGCTACTTTACAAAAGCTCATTGTTGCCGCCCTATTGTGGCAACAATCAGCGCACGGCTCTTGCCTCCACAGCAGATGGGAGCTTCTACAGGCTGCGCTCTCAACACATAAAAAAAAAGGCGCCAAAGGTGTCTCTGCAGCGGCTGTTCACATATACCTAGATGCGCTCTACACATAGCAAACTGCCACCAGCGGCGACACACGACATATAGACATTAGTACCAGCACGCACTGCCCACAAGAGGCGCTTCTCATCAATGCAGTCACTACGCACAAGCCTTATTGTGGTCATCTTCAGTGGCTCTGCTGCAGGAAACTTGGTTACTTAGCAAGCGCATGTTTATTACAATTGATATTGCTCCTAAAAATGCTAGCCTTGCTTTGTAAAGTGTCGAAATATGTTGCTATCGTATTCATTGCTTCACCCTTTAGGCGAAACCGTGACTTTTTTTCAACCAAGCTCACTTAGACTCAAGTTCACTAAAACATTGCTTGCCCAGGCTTACTCAGACTCACGGTTCAATGTCGACAATGAGCAAGTCGACTCACGAGTGCGTTAGTGTATAATTAGCGCTTGGGACCCTAGCATCAATGCTCTTTACTGTCAATATATCACATAATTGGTGCTTGTTATGGAGGATGAGTTGTTAAAGAAGACGAAGATGCCAGAAGAAATGAATGGAACATGAAGAAGAAAAGCGAATCAATGACGATAAAGAAGCGAAGATGCGTACAGACGTGCCATTCTGGAGGGCTAGCACGAGCATGAGAGAATGGTGGGGCCAGGACGAAGGAGAAGACGACCAAAAATCAGACAGTCTGTGTTTTGCCCCCATACTTCAAAGCTTGGAAGCACGTCTGAGTTCCAGCCTCGGCAAGCTGCGGTCTCCTTTCTCTGATTGTCCAGTTGGCTGGATGTGCATCGAGCTTCCGAGACACGTTAGCGTTGGCGCTGCGTAGTGGGACAAGCTAGGGCGCATGCCTTCTTTTCTTGTGAAGTGCTCAAGGAACAGCGTATGCTGGGTGTGCTAGGAGTATCAATCGGCTTGTGTCTTATCCAGCTGAACTTGGGCAACGCTTGATCTTCCTGCCTCATAAGCACAGCACCTTACTATGCCAGTGGAGTTGCTGGTGCTGAGACATTCAACGAGCAACGGCCTTGTGACAGCATCAGGTTACAAGTGTGAACGACCAGCGAGAGAGACACATGTCATTTCGGCAGATCAGTGACGCTTTGGTAATTTAGTTGGTGAGGCAGACAGTGTTCCTCTGTGCATTTGTCTGTGTATGAAGTTAAGGTTGTGTTTGTCACATCTTGTCGCCTTTCTGAGTTCATTCCGCTTGTTCAAGAAAAAGGTGCTGGGCACTTATGCACATCGTGACAATGCTATACGCGGTGCTTTTTCACCTTATATCTCCAAGTACGAGTTATCAGTAACCTTCACCCCCTCTATAATGTATTTATACCCTGCGGGTACTATAAATGAATAAATAAATAAATAAATAAATCAGTGTTTGCACTCCAATTAGAAAACTTTTATGAAAGACTCGATCCACACAAGATTTGTCTATCAAAAAAAAAAAAATCCTGCTAAAGAGTTCGTGGGAGGAAAAGTAGGTGGCTTCCCGCATCCTTTCTTAATTCACGCCTCTAATCAACAAATATTGAGGTGGTGTATGAACTCTGGTACGTTAATGTATGTGTGAGAAGACGTGAGTATAAATGTCAGCCGACATAAGGTCAACAGTTATGTGGGAAACAAGTGGATAGTACTGAAGGTTCGCAAAAACAGTGGAGCTCAGTAAAATTGTTGTTGTTTGTGAGTGAAAATTTGCAAAAGGTGCAAATAATCAAATTCATGGGTCCAAACTGGAAATGAATGCCCAGACCTCCTTTATCATCAGTGGCAGTGTCAAAAAAATGTGTGGCTACATAGCCAGGCGTATTGCCTTAAGGGTGTGTAGTACTGACTATGCTGATTCACAAAATAAATTACGGCAAAGTGGGAACTTCGCAGCTGTACTTGCAGTAGGTGTGAATTTTTGGAGAGTCTAAAATGGCTGATATTACGAGCTCAGGCGTTCCTTTCCTTGTGGTACGATAGAGGTGTCCACTGAGAAGTAAAGCCTGGCTAGCGAATTGGAAGGCAATGCAAATGGGACCAGATTATGCTATCGTAGTTCATTCTTGAAAGCAAAGCTGAAGTGTCTTGCGCATTTTCACACTGCTCTGCCACTGCTCAAATTGCAATATAAAATTCGAAGGAAAGTCACAATTTAACTTTCCTTAATCGTAAGCATTGTTTTAGTCTAATCAACAATTTGTTTCATTAAGAAAGAAAGAAGGTTTGTACCAATTTTGTCCTGCTTTTACAGTCTCTTTAATTAATGCAAGAAATTTGTTTCAGAATGAAACAGGCAGCACAGTCTTGATCTTTTTCTTGTTCACAGTCTGAATGAGCTGTGTTAACAGCTTTACAACCTTTTTATGTCAAAAATGGCAGGCCCATTTCAGCTGGCATACATAAACAGTTCTTGGCAAATTACAATTTTCCAGCCGGAAATTGTGCTGCAGTGATGTCGGTGAGGCAGGGCTTGTGTGTTATCGTGGATGGCAGGGGCAGGTGACACGGCCTTGGATAGCTTCCCCTACTTTTGTTATCTGTCAGCATTTCCTTATCTCTGGCGTTGACCTGTCACCCAAGCATTGGTGAAGGAATCCCCCGGTGACATGCTCACTATTTAAGGAGTGTAAAGCTGTTTGCTGCATATTTAAATTAGTTCGATTCAACAAGAAAAAAATATGGCATTGCAGTGTACCACGTATATTGTGAACTTGTTTCACTAAAACGTCTGTTCATATCACATGGCAAACTATTTCTCAACGAAAACTGTGTAGTATTGACGCACCGTCTGTTCGGATCAACAATCAGTTTTCATAATCAATGGCAGCAATTGGTGCCATACGAGTTGCTTGTGTTTTAGTGGTGTCGCAGCCCTGGTGGACCCGGCAAAAAAAGTTTGTAAACTTGGTGTCAGCTAAAGTGGCACTTTCACACATTGAAAGTTAAACACCAAGCTTTGTATTACATGCAGCGTCTGCATGTATGTAAAGTCGAGAGCACCTGAATATTTTTCATCTTTTATGAGATCATCCCTTTAGAAACAAACAGAACAAATAGTGCATGTTTTGTCTGGGACCGCCATTACAAGCATTACCAGTTGCACAAACATATTCTGCATGCAGTCACTGAAAAACCGAAAGCTGTCTTTGATGCAACACCGAATCTGAGAGATAGTTTTGTGACAGCTTTCTCTGTGGTCATGACATAAAGATATAGTTAGAATGGTATGTACCATGTGGCTAAACCAGTTTCCTTTCTGATGTTTATGTACTTGTTTTTAAAGTTCCCCCACAGCAATGGTGGTACTTGTGGTTGTAATTGTGTTTACCGCATGTGGCAATTTTCGCATGCTTTAACTATAAAAAGTGGTAGCATTAGTGTTTATGGTTATGCTGCATCATAGCCTTGATTTTACTATGCATTTTGTGCGGCTTGTCATATATCCATTGCATGCTTTTTTGTGTCAGTGTGGACAAGTTTGATGTTTTAATTCACTTGACCCCCAAACTTTTAGTTAACACCGTCACAGTGGTTAGTCAGATTCTTTGCCTCATCTTCATGCAGTCCATTGAAACAAGCGAAATTCCAGATGATTGGAAGATACGCCGAATAGTCGCGATCTTCAAAACCGGAGAACGAACTAATCCAGCAAACTACCGCCCGACTTCTCTGACTAGCATTCCCTCTAAATTACTGGAGCACATTATATCTTCTCACATCACGACTCACCTTGAATCAATAAATTTCTTCTATAACCACCAGCACGGTTTCCGAAAGCACTTCTCATGCGAGACCCAATTGGTCAAGTTTAGCCACGACCTACTAAAAAGCATCGATGATAACCTTCAGATCGATGCCATATTCCTTGATTTTTCTAAAGCTTTTGATCGCATACAACATAATCTATTATTTAGCAAAATTCATTCACTTGGCATTGCACCGAGTATTGTCTCCTGGGTTGAACACTTCCTTTCTAACCGTAATCAATTCATCTCTGTTAATAATCATAACTCCTCTTTAACTAGAGTATCATCAGGCGTACCTCAGGGCGTGGGCTTATCACCCATTCTATTTTTAATATTCATAAATGACCTGCCCACAAACATTGCAACAAAACTACGACTGTTTGCAGACGACTGTGTCATATACTCTCTCATTCACAACATTGAAACCAGCACTAAACTACAACAAGACCTCAACACAGTTGCACTATGGTGTCAAGACTCATCAATGCCGTTAAACTTAACCAAATGTAAATCGATGTCATTTTCCCGTAAGCGTGCCACTGTTAATCATACCTACTTATCAATTCGCTTCCTCTCAATTCGACTTCGTCTCACAGGTATCTCGGTGTGCACATGTACCCAACTCTTTAATTTGCGCCGCACGTGCAGTCCATCTGCTCAGACGCTCTGCGCACGCTTCCATTTTTGCGCCGTAATCTAAAATCGGCATCTCCTGATGTTAAAAAACTAGCATACATACGTACGCCCAAAGCTCGAATATGCATCGTCCATTTGGAATCCATCCCAGGCATATCTCGCTAATGAACTAGAATCAGTCCAAAACTGTGCTGCCCGCTTTATAACCTCACAGTCTTCCAGACAAATCAGCGTCACCGCCCTAAAGCAATCAATCCAACTACTATCTCTCGCGTCACGCCGCCTCATCTCACGCCTATATCAAGTACAAACTTTTACAGCCCTCTAACAGAACTTCTTCTCGCATTAACCATTCTATCCCCATTGCACCAATCAACGGCCGTACAACTGCAATGAACGACTCCTTTTTTCCCCCAAGCAATTACACTTTGGAATTGCCTTCCCGTCTCCATAGTTGCCACACCTGACGGCACATCATTGCGCGCAAAATTGGAATCCCACTTTGATTCCATTCAATAACCCATGGCTGTAGATATATCCCACCAGCGTACTGTATGTATAATTTTTTGCCATGTTGTTTGTACTCTAATTCCCAATCAAACATTTCTTTTGTTTATTATTTGATTAGTTTTGTTGTCATTCTTGACCAAACTACCATATGCATATTTAGAACTGTATTGTTTATAATAATTTGTTGACATTAAATTGTACACCGTCACAGTGTATTTGTTGCCCACCCTTATGTAATGCCCTCAGGCCTTTAAGAATGCAATGAATGAAAAAAAAAGTGAAAAAAGATGAAGCAGCTTGGTTCGCCGTCACTGGTGACTTTCGTGTCTTACTTTATTGTCATGTTTGAACCGTTTCCTCACGTGTCATTTGTCTCTGTGCAGTGCGGCGGTACGACAATGCCACCACGTGTGGCCTGGTGTGGACAGCGAACTTTGTGGCGTACCGGTGCCGCACGTGCGGCATCTCGCCCTGCATGTCTCTGTGTGCCGAATGCTTCCAGCAGGGCAACCACCAGGGCCACGACTTCAACATGTTTCGCAGTCAGGCGGGGGGTGCTTGCGACTGCGGGGACGCCAGTGTCATGCGCGAGGATGGGTGAGCAGTATGGTAGCTTGAATGGGCTGGCAAGAGCGTGTTACTCTTGCCAGCCCAAGAGGATGTCCCTCCTGGTAATGCAGATTTGCAGGGGCGGATAATGGGGTAATAAACAGTTCTAGCCACTTCACATGGTTCTCTCTTGCTATGCCTGTAATCGCCTACCAGCATAAACTAGCCTGATTTCCTTTACCAATAAGGTCACGTGAAGGAAACACTAAATCAATTTATGCTGGCAGAGTGTTTTTTCCTAAGTGCATTTTCAATATTTTGTTAATTTTATAAGTTGAATAGTAGCCTATTGTCAAACTCTTTTTTTATATAATACAGTGAAATCTCGATACAAGGAACTTGAAGGGACCGCGGAAAATCGTTTGTTATTTTGACACATTGTTATAGTGAAAACATAGAAAATTGGCACTAAATATCTCAAACACAATAAAAGTTACCTACCTACCTTTGTTAGGTGCATATCTGCAAACCCATGCTTCAATGACGATTGAAAAAAAGACACAAAACTCTAAATATCCCGGAATGAGCCCACGTTTCGCTCAACTGTTGCTGGACAAACGCTTTAAAGCTGTCCACATTCTTATGCTCTTGATCGGTGGCATTGCTGCACCTGCCAAAGTAGGTGGGTTTCTTTCGCACGTATTTCATGATGTCGGCATCGGAAAGAGATTCTTTGGGCTGGCACACAGGCGCAGTATCAGCATCATTTTCACCATTGGCATCCTCGTCAGTGGTGTCCTGGTCACCACAAACGGCGCTGACGATGTCATTGATCGTCAGTTCGGCTGACAAGTAGGCTTCATTGTCGCACTCCACAAAGGCCTCGAACGTCACCGAGGCATTCATACCAAGTCTTTTCAATGACTTCTTGGCACATGCCACCCGCGTCGCTTTCTTCGCTGCCTTGTTCAGAGTCAACTTCATGTCGAATTGATACTAGGCCTGCCTTCCCCCAGCAGATCTGGATGGTGGTTGCTGTAACATTCCACCAAGGCCCGGCAACCATTTCTGCAGCCTGTCACACACTGATTGAAGTAGGCAGCTTCAGCCGAAGATTAATCAGCAATCGCTGAACGAAGTGTTTGAGGTAATGAGCCTTGACGCTTCTTATGATGCCTTGGTGGAGTGGCTGTAGCAACGAAGTGCAGTTAGGTGGCAAGAATTCTAGCTGCACGTTAGTCAGCCTAGCATTCACAAGATGCACCGAGCAGTTGTCGGCGATAATAATATTTTCTTGCCTGCTCGCCTCATTTTGTCGTCCACCTTCATTAGCCACTCAGAGAGCTCTCGTGTCATCCATGCGCGTGAATTGGCCCGATAATCACACAGTAATGACACAACATTCTTCATGCACCGAGGCTTCTTATATTTACCAATCACCAACGGTTTCAGCTTCTTTGTGCCTGTGCCGTTGCAGCAGAACAACACCGAAATACGGACTTTGGATTGTTTGCCACCTTTACAGCTGCTCCCCTTAAAATGCATCGTTTTATCGGGTAGCATCTGATAGAAAAACGCCGTTTCGTACGAAGAGACGATCTCTCAGAACTTTTCGCCCTTCCATGCAGCAGTACTCGCTGCGTCTGCCCCATTTTGTTCTCCTGACATCACTTGCCAGGTGATTCCGTTCCTCTCACAGAAACGATGGAGCCACCCCGTGCTTGCTTCAAAGCCCCTGATGTCTAAAGCAAAAGCCAATAGCCCGGCTTTTTCCTGCAGCGTGGGTCTCGACACCGGCACATTTTGAGAATGTGCATCGTGGAACCACGTGAGCACTCCAGCATCTATGTCCTGAAAGTTCCCGAGTCGTAGCCGTTTTCTTGACGGTGCGAGTTAGGACCCTCGGTGCATCTTGATGATCTTCTGTTGATCCTTCAGGATGGTCGCTACAGTTGATGGTGCGACCTCCAACTCGTTCGCTATGTAGATTTGCTTTTTATCGGCGTCTATTTGTGAAATGATGCCCATTTTTTCTTTCAAAGAGAACTGCCTCCGCTTCTTTCTCGTGCTGCTCCCGGTGCTCATGGCGAACGGCAAACGTAGAAATGAATTCCTAAACCAGGCGTTGACACTAATCAATAACACTAATCGTTAAACACTAATTGTTAAACGACTGTCGAACGGCGTCGAACAGCGGGCGAGGCTCAACTTGACTAAATCGCTGATCGGGGATGCAAAAACGATTGAAGGCGCTGCAATAGCATAGGGCAACGTATGGAGAAATGATCCAAAAGCTTTGATGATGATAATAGTGCCACATAGTATGGAGCTGGGCATTTGCCGTATTTACTCCCGTAATCCTCGCACTCGCAGAATTCTTGCACCCTCCCTCTCCGAATTGGCCAACAAAAATATATTATTTTTCCGCTAGTACTGATTATTGCACTCGCGACAATTGCAGCAGTAATGTCTACTTTCAACCACTGATGATAATGCACAGCCTAGTGCCACCTTTAAAAAACTATCCATACTATCAGTGCACGGAGCCCCAATTCAATCCAAGCCAAAGTGATCAGCACCCGTTGCAGCTAAAGCCCCTATACTTCGTAAAAGTATTACATCTGCTCTCCCCATCGCCGCCTCCTCTCTGGCGCGTTGCTTTTTTTCTTTTGCTTGCGACAATGGCGCCCCCTGTAATACGCCACGAGCTTGCAGTTTGTTTTTAAGCCGGTGGCGCGCCGCCGCTGCTGCATTAGTTATAGCCGTTTCTGTACAGCTGTGGTCGTGTGCCGTGCCTCGCATACGGCTTTATGTAATGATTCTTCTGCGTTGATTTTCTCAGCAAGACTGGGTGTGCTTACCATCAATGTTACGGTAGAAGAGCTGCTGCAAGTCATGCACAAGTTGTAGAATTGCACGTGTTTAAACTTTTTTTCGAAGCCTAGTGTTTTCTTGTGTATCTGGCACTAATATACACAACTAGGTTTATTGAGAACAGGTTGAAATTAAATTCAGTAAACTCGGCGTGATAGTTATTGAAGCGGTAAGTAATATTTAAATCGCAACTGCAGTGTCTTAAGCCACGCGGTTCGGGAAGTAATAGTTCCCGTGTGTACAAACTGTCTCTATATTTTATAACTTCAGCAATGTCAACATTGTCCATGAAAGTGGTTGCTCGGAACTTCGTGACGTTTCGCACGCTACCTCTCCTCTGCCTGTACCATGACATGTGCACCATGACATGTGCATGACATGTCGCGGGTTCGGATCCCGGCTGCGGCGGCTGCATTTCTGATGGAGGCGGAAATGTTGTAGGCCCGTGTGCTCAGATTTGGGTGCACGTTAAAGAACCCCAGGTGGTCGAAATTTCCGGAGCCCTCCACTACGGCGTCTCTCATAATCATAGGGTGGTTTTGGGACGTTAAACCCCACATATCATCATGACATGTGCACGCAGTACGCCGTTCTGAGATTTTTGTCCTCTTCGGCACAGTTTGCAACCATTGTCTTGAGGTTTTACAAGTCTTCATAGGCACTGCATATAATGAAGGTGATAAAGGTCGTTCTTTCACACGGAAACTATTTTTGATTGCTGGACGGGCAAGATGGTGCAGTCATGTAGAGGTCGAAAAACGCAGTCGTGTCATCACTGTCGGAATTACCACTAGCCGATTTCTAGCATTGTATTCTCATAACTCAATGCACAGTATCACCTTAAAGCAATGAAAAGGTTCGGCACATCGACGTATATATTGCGACAAAGTGTTTTTTTTTTTTTTTTCAAGTGCCAGCGGTTCATGTCATAAGGAACGCATGCGATGTGCACGCTGTTGGAGACACGGGCTGCGCTTGGGAATAGCCGCGATAATCATGAAATTTGAAACATTAACCACTTCTGAGAGAAATGCTCTCACACGTCCTGCACTTTGCATGTGGTGAACAAGGAACACAGGGGCGCTTTGGTGTATCCAACATGGTGCCGAGTGGCGAAAACCGGTTCTTCGCCGCATCCACCCGAAGAGACAAGAAGCTCCACTGGGGAGAGGAGGAAGCGGCGCAGATAAAAAGAATGCTGTACTTTTCCCACAATATAGGGGCTTTAGTTGTGGCGTGTTAGTAAAGTCTGTGTAGTGTTTGGTAACACAATGTGTCGATACGGAAGCTACATGGCTGCTTTTAGGTTGAAAGTGATTGACCATGCTCTAAACAACGACGATAGGGTTGCCGGCAGGCACTTCCGGGTCGGCGAGTTTTGTGTTCGCTACTGGCGACGGCAGCACGAGAAGCTGGAGGCCAACAACACGCGTCGGATGTTCCGTGGGCCTGAGTGCACAATACTCCCAGCTTGAGGTGGAACTTCTTTATTATGTCAAGGGTCTCCACACGAAGGCCCTTGAAACAGTGGACAGTGGCTTTAGTGTCTGCAAATAAAGTGCTTTGTGTTGAACCTGTGGTTTTATTGTTAAGGTAAGTCTCGAACAGTACTTAGAAGTCTGTAGTTTCTGGTTGGAGAATCCCGATTTGCGACCACTTCATTTTCTTTTTCGCTCTGTACGTTTTCGCAGAAAGTTTTTCCCGCGTAGTTATCGCACCCCTCCAACTTTTTATCCATTTTGCGCGTAGAAAGTGTGAAGATTATGCGAGTAAATACAGTAGATCGCCACTAGTAATTCGTTATTTTGAAGTGCTATTAAGATTGGCGGGCGATCAAGTTCTATTCGTTATTCTGAAACATTCGTTGCTCTGAAATTCATAGTAATGAAATACTCTTACATTGAACATGGACATTGGGAGGGGATTTTCGAAATATTCGGTAATGGGAAAAAATCGTTAATCTGAGGTTTGTTGTAACGGTATTTCACTGTATTGTGCTGAAAATGTGTTGCCAATATATCATTGGAACATTATGGATTTCGAATTTCTCGTTTTATTTTCTGCTTTGTGAAAATCTCCTCGAATAAAAATTTTTGAATATGGAAAGCAGTTGTGTAAGTATGAACACAACGAAAAAAAAAAAAAAGGCCCCACATAACCAATATTTTTTCTTTTCTTTCTTCTTTTTCAAAGCAGGTGACAGCATTTAGTGAAATGCAGCAGCAACCTCCTAGTAATGGCAGGCACCCACAGACGTGGCAGTTCTTAAAATGATCTAGGGCTGACTTACACAAATGCTTTTGCTATTAGTGCAAGCGAAGCTCATACCACGAGGCAAGCTTCTTTGATCTTATTTGTTAGTAAAGCTACACTGCCAGTAAACTTTGCAGTGCACTAGCAATTGCACTAGTGTGTCTATGTCTTTCCGATCCTGGTGACATTGAAGCCATAGGGTCTCTTGACGAGTGACGAAGGGACAGCCAGAAATAGTTCGAAATGAAGTTACTATAGTCCTACTACTTTCTTGATAGCGCATTAACTTTACAGAACGCCTGCTATGCTGTTGCATTGTAAGTAGCATGTGAAGCAATGTTGGTTCTTGTTTGTCTCCAGAGCTTTGCTGTAGTCCCTCCGTCATTGTCACCTGAGCATGCTTTTCTCGTTCACAAACAGGTTCTGCCACCGGCATGGTCCCAAGGCACAAGTTGGCAAGCCACCAGCACCTCCGGATTTGCTCTGTGTGGCAGAGTCCATGATGCCTCGTGTCATTTTGCGCCTTGTCCAGCACCTGCGTGAGCACAGCAACAGTGTCGATGCCGGTGAGAGTCTCTGCTGCTCCTGGCTTTCTTGAAGGGCACAGTTTTAATTCATCTCTTAGTATGCATGTGTTAAAGAATCTGCCAGTTAAGAAGGATAGATGGATAGATAGAAGTAAGTTGTCCTTGTTCTGTAGTTTTCTTCATCTTGTCCCATGCTTTATTGTGCTATTTTTTCATCTGATAGTTATCTCCCTCTTAGTACAATAGTAGTTTGAAGCTCACAACTAGGCTTGCTTCGAATACCATGTTACTAAATAAGGTTCGAGGAGCAGGCTTTAAGAATCGTGCGAGAGACGCTGTTTAGGGCAGCAAGAAAAAGGACACAAGTTGCTTGGCACACAAACATATATTCAAACAGGAACGAGCACAGATTAACAGAAATACAAAAGCAGGGCAAACAAAATAATATACAAAGCTTCTTTAGAAACAATTCAAACACTAGATGTGCACACGCGTTGGGGCTTGACTTGATGGTCGTGGCTGCGTCACTGATCATGGATGAGAAGGGCCAGGCTTTACATCCACTGGGCATTGGGGCAGAAGACGTGCCGTGTACAGAGTTCTTCGCGCATTAATGTTCATCAAGGTAACTCCGCCAATGTTTCCTTTCCAAACAAGAACGGGCTAATGCGTCTTCTCTCCAGCTTCTGGCATTGTCTGATCTCTGATTGGCCAATATGGCTTGCTCTTTTTTTTTTCCTTGGCACGCGCAAAGTGGGTACCTGCAGGTAGATATCTTCAAGGAGGGCGAACAGCCCTGGCTCCAGTGCGCATGCTTGCACCTTTTTGCCACTATTTCATCGTCTTCTTAGCGGTGTCAGGGGACCTCATCACACACCGCCTATTGTGTTGGCTCAGCAGCTAAAAAGATGTGCAGCTAAGCATACAGGCAAGGGTTGACTTCACGGTGACTGCATTTAAATGATGCGAAAATGCAGAACCACCAGTGTAGCATTTCTGAAATGTTGATTCCCTGGCTGGTGAAAATTAATGTTGGGTTCTCCACTGTGGTGTGCCCCACGATCATATCGGACGTTGGCGTGCAAAACTCGAATTGATGTTTTTCTTTTTAATAGCGATATTTTTTTTTTGTGCCAATGATGCCACCGTTTTCATCATCGTTTCGTCACTGTAATTGCGTTGCCAGGTCTTCCATAAATCCTCACTGTCAGCCTTGCTTTAGGGTGCAGGAACACGAAAGTTCTCATACCGCCATGGCTAATATTTGGAGTTGCTTGTCCCCATGGAAATTTGCTGTTGGAAGATGAATCTGCTAAATCTGGGCATTTCACACAGCGTTGGAGCTTGGCAGTTTTTTCAGGGTTTTATGCTTCAAGTAATCTCTTAGAGTGATGAAATTTATTAAAAGATAGCCCTTCGGAAACCACTGCCAGGAGTACTGTAGCTGTCCGGGATAACGTTGCACGCACTACGAAAAACCTCGTAACATGGCATAAGCATAACTGGCTCCAATTAGAGCCCCCTAAAAGCCACAGTGAATGACTTATAAATGGAGGTACCACTGAGGTTTTTCCTAACTGGAGGAACCACTGAAGTTTCTTTTGTTACAGCTTGACACAGAACACCAAACGCGCCCATGCAGCTAGTCTTCTTTGTTTTTTCACTGTGGTGGCTTAGCTTCTTATAGTTTCTGCGGGTAAGCTCAACGATGCAGGTTTGATTTTTATCCCAGTGGCTCATTTTGATTGTGCTGAAGTGCATAAACACCTGTATAATTTGATTTAGTTGTGTGTTAATGAAACTCGCAGGATCAGAGTCAATTCATTTCCTCATTGCTTCAGGATCTGGTGTGTGTTTGGCTGATTTAATCCCAGAAAATGATTAATTATTTTGCTTCATTTTCAGGAGCCGTGGGCCAGAAGGCAGTGCAAGAGGCAGATGGCTTCCTGACCATGCTTCATCAGCTGAGCGAGATGGGTGCTGTCATGCGACAAGTGATGACTCACGCACTCACCAACCCCCTCAGCTACCGAACACTCACCTGCAGTGCTGCCAGTAAGTTACAGGACCCCTTAAATGGACACTGAAAAACTTAAAAAAAAAGCAACAAGATTATGGTGTCATGATATGTAATTTCACGTGGTGAATTCGAAAATCAAGTCGAAAATTTGCATAAATCAACGCAAATAACTTTATTTTGTTGAAAACAAGCACACGCCGCGCCCACCATCGCGAGTCACGCCGCCACTGTGATTGTTCGAAACTCCATGAACTCTCTATCAGGAAGGGGAGGACTGCTCACTGCGCTCGCTTGCAGTAAATGCCTTGTTTATCTGTTAAGGCGCTGCGCCGTGCTCCCTACCGGGCTATAGAAATGGGGCGCCTTTTCCTCTTCTAACCACTACCACCACCACCACCACCACTATCTGTTGAAATCTGGCAGTTGCTGTAAGTATGGTGAACTGTGAAAGTCGGACCGATTTCGCTGTACATCTATACATGTTCGAGTCGGCCGCCACTTTAAGGGCAGCGACTGAAGCGACTGAGGCGGCACAGAAAAGCGAGTTCCAACCTGCCACCTTCACCCGCGTCGGAAACATAGGCTGGCGCATATAAGATGCATGCTAGTACAGTAAAAGCTTGTTAATGCGAATTCCACGGGAACGCTGAGCAATTTTGAATTAAACAAAATTCGAAATAATGAAAGTGAGCAAAAATGGGTGGATTTCGGGGGTGGGGGCACGAAAAATATTTATTGGCCAAAAAAGTCGGTGATGACCATCTGCTTCTTTTCTCTGAATGCCACAGCTGCGGCTCTCTGTTCCAGCGCGCGGACGCAGCACAGGGAATCCTCTTCACCCTCTTCAAAGCTGAAGAAGAGACGCGCTACATTAAGTGCCTCCATCACTGCAGAAGCTGACGGGCGCACAGGCGCTTCGTCATTTTCGTCTTCCTCACCTTCTGGCTCTTCAGCATGAGGCTGCGCACCGGCTACTTGAGCGATAATGGCTACTTGAGCGATAATGTCCTCATCAGTCAGGGCACCACACACCGATGCACCGGTGTCAACTTCAACATAATCGGCAAAACGTACGCCCCGAAGAGTGTCGCGCAATGCTACTGGCATGAGCTCCTCAGCCCCATCCACGTCGACGTCACAACTATCCTGCGCACTTCCAGCTGCAAATCCACTGTGGCGGAAACAGTTTGCGATTGTGGTCGTGGTCACCTGTTCCCATGCGCGCACCAACATGTGCATGGCAGTGAGCAGCGTAATGCCGAAGTCCTTCCTGTCGCCCGCGCACAAAACCATTCTCTCCAGCACGTGACACCTATAAAAGCACTTAATGTTCCTTATCACACCCTGGTCCGTTGGCTGTAGGGTCGCAGTTGTATTTGCCGGAAGGAACACCAACTTAGTTGCTCTCAGCTCAACGTCGACTTTGTGCGCCGAACAGTTGTCGACGACAAGAAGAACGCGTCTGCCACCCAGTTCCATTCGCCTGTCGAATTTCAGTAGCCACTTCCTGAATAGGTCACCTGTCATCCAGGCTTTCTTGTTTGCGGCGTACTTCGTCGGCAGTGAGCGAATGTTTTTGAAGCACCGTGGCTTGAGTGCTTTGCCAATCACAAAAAGGGGGACCTTTTCCGTACCGGTCATATTTGCGGCGACCAGAACAGTGACACGCTCTTTGCTGCGCTTGCCGCCGGCACAGCTGTCTCCCTTGTAGGTGATCGTCTTGTCTGGCTGCAACTTGAAAAATAACGCTGTCTCGTCAGCGTTAAACACATCCTGTGGTGAGTAGCTCTCCAAGTACTGCTGCAGGGTGTCGCTTCTCCAAGTAGCGCATGTTTCGGCGTCCACTTCCTTTGCCTCGCCGGATAACGTGCGGAATACGGGATTGTGCCGCTCCCTGAAACGATGAAACCATCCCTCGGAGGCGACAAAGTCTTCAATGTCCAAGCGCAGGGCGAAATCGGCTGCCTTGGCCACGGTGATAGGGCCGCTCAATGCGATACTCTGGGCTCTCATTTCTTTAACCCAGATAATCAAAGCTGACTCCAGTTCCAGGAACTTCGCTGTCCTTAGCCTTTTTCGACTGGCGCCAAAATCCTCGGCTTCATAGGCGTTTTCAGTGGCCATCCTGTTGCAAATGTAGGTTGACAACGTGCTCGGAGGTATGCCGTGCTTCCTCGCAATTTCGTATTTGCTCGAGTTCTTTTGGTCAACCTTTCGCAAAATCTCCACCTTCTCCTTGACAGTCTTCGCGCAGTAGTTTTCCCGCAGCATCTTGCAACTTCGATGCGGAATAAGACGGCTTGACGGCGTGAACGAACAACGTGCTCGAGGAACAAAGTGACGCTGCGGGGAGCGGCCTAGGACTGCTAGGACTACTCCGCCGACTCCTCAGCGTCTCGTGGGTCCTGCGTACAAGTGGCGCCAGGCGCTGAGATAGCGGGAAGGCTACGGAAAAAAAAAAATTGCTCCCTGGATTTTAGAGGCCATACTTTGCTCGCCCTTTGCTCAGAGGCCACTTGAAGCTCGAAAAAAACTGGTCTTGCCATCTATCGTTCGACCGTAAAAGCTTTCACTAGTGTTTGACGATGATGACGCTCGGCGGCGCGCGCTTCGAATTATCCGTAGAGGCAGCAATTTCTGTTCGAATTAACGAATCGTTTTACACATGGTCTTCTATGCACTGCGGACTGGACTGCGGCGTTCATTTCGAATTATCCGAAATTTCTAATTAATGAGGTGTAAATTAACGAGCTTTCACTGTACTTAATTTTACATTAGTAAACTATTACAATTGATACGCTTATCTGTGGATATGAAATTCGATAAGAAACAGCAGCATCGACACTCCCTTTTAGCCTATTGGCACGGTCTGCGCTACGTGTGGGCAGCGTGCAGAAACATCAGCTGTTCGTGGACTTCACAGCTCAGAGTACAGCATTGTTAATGCAGCCAGTATCGTGCTTCGCAGCGGACAAGGCGCGCGCAATGAGTCGGTATGCTACCCTGAGAAAAAAGAACGAAAAAGAGAGCCGGACGAGTGTCGATGCTCTTGCCGCAGTGGTGATAAGTGCTCTGAACTGCGCTGAAATTTGCACAAGAATAATTGGGCTCATATATTGCAATTTGGTTTTTTATAATATCGTTACTTTTTAAAATTCTGCCCAGTACTACATTGATGATGTGTTAAAATTCAAACGGTATATTAGCTGCGCTAGAAGCGCGTGACTGTCGGGTAGAATAGCTGATTTCAAATATGCGTACTCATATCTTTGTACACGTGTTTTCGCTATAGGTGCTCATGCACGCATTGCATGCAAGTGGGGAAAGAGGAGAAGTGCTGCTGCTGCCTCGAAATTCGGCAGATTCGCGACCGCCACAGCGCGCTTCATCTCGTAGGTTTGAAGTACAGTCGAGCCCACATATAACCGCCCCACTTAAAACGAACTTTCGCTTAAAACGAACAATATCCGCGTGACCGTGAAAATATACATTGGTTCAATGGCACAAAATCGCACTTACAACAAACGTCTTCGAGCGCCGCTGAGGTTACAGCGAACGGAGTCAGCAGTCTGCCGACTTCCCGGGAAACCAATTTCGACCACCGATCAGGCATCGTCGAGGTGCCCATACATTCTTATTGTTAAATGCCGACCCTGCCTCCGCGCCCCTCTAGTTGCCGCTCTTCCCGGCCGCTTTTTCTACCCCTCCGTCCTTCGTCCCGCCCGCTACTCTGAGCACCTTGCATCGCCAGACGAGGCCAGTATTTTCGCACATGCCACCGATCTTTCGAAGACCGGTCAGCCATCTACCCCGTTTTTGATCGCTGGTACTGTTGTTAACGTCGCCGGCCTGGAGTGACCAGACCATTTGCCAACATCGTCGGCCACCAACTGTATCCGATAGTTTGCGTCTAGTGCACGCGCGTACGCTGCGTCTAGTGCACACGCGTACGCTACCCCACCGGCTCATAATTTGCGATTCGTTTCGTCTTTAGGACTTGTTCTCGCTTACTTCTCACTCGGCTCAGCATGCCTTCCCTGCACGTGCGGAAGCGCGAAAACGGCTGTTAATTTGCACGGAATGAATCACGAAATATCGAAGTTCACGAGGCGACGCAAACCCGCCGGCGCAACAAATGATTTTTTGCCCACGGCCACCGATTCTCTGAACACCAGCCGCGCGCACCGATTCAGGCGGCCATGCACTCTTTCGAAGTTTTTCTGCGTGCGAGTTTCGCGGACCTTTTAAGCAAGCTACCCAACCTGCCTCCTTCCCGTGTGTTTTGGTTTTCAAGGTCGCCCTCCCACCGCATCCTCCCCTTCTTTATCGCAACTCCTTGCCCTTCTCTCGCAAGTCTGCTCTCTTCTCTTGATCACAACCCCTTCGCCGTTCTCCACCGCTCCGTGACGCTTGCCACGCTGGCTCGAATTAGTTTCGATTTCTGACTGGAAACGGGCCTAGAGCTGTTCCACGCTTTTTGGCATGTGTGTCGCGTGCGCGCATCTTGCTCGCTCTTGGTGTGCGTGTGTGGTCATGAGGGCCGATGGGAGGACTAGCACGCTTTTTCTTGCCGCTCAACAAAACGTCGAAAGTGTGACCGCTTGGCCTGAGCGCAATCCTCGCGTTAGGTGCCGGGTTGCGGAGCGCTTGCTCATAACTGTTTACAACCTGGCAGCCAACTTGCCGCTTCCGGCGTGCTGGTATTCAGCTGTGGAGATGGTGAATATTTCGTGGGCGACGGTGACGGCTACATGCGCACGAAACTGTTGTCGCAAGGCCGACTTCGTCGACGTCGGGCCCAATGCTGAGCCTGAAGCTTCCAGACAGGACCACTGCGGCGGCGATTTGTGGCAGCGCGTCGTCGACTCCGACCTGGGAGAGCGGGTGGGACATCTGTTGCGATGGTTTAATTACGGCCGATGATGATGCCGACACTGCGGAACCGTGCACGGATTAGGGCATTGTGAAGGAAGTACGTGGCGAGAGTGATTTGGAGGAATCGGATTGCGAGAACGACAAAACTTGGAGTCAGTGCCTCATGCAGCTTATGCCACGGGCCTCGGCGAATGAGCAGCCCACCCAGTAAGGGCGGTCTCGAGTTTTAAATGAACTCGAGACCGCCCTTATCGCTTCTGCTCTTCGAAACACGTGCATCGCGGACTTCTTCGGGCAAACAAAGTTTGTGTCTTCACTCGCAACTTTTTTTTAAAGCTGTGTTCCATTTACTACGAACTTCGGGATACAGCAAACGGATGCGGCGTCACGCTCAGGTTCTTCATACTCGAAATTCTTAGCTCAAGTTACGTGGGACACCCTGTATAGTATGCTGGTATCATTGAGGCTAAAACAATGTGACTACAGCTTTAGTTTGGGGTACAAGCACTGTCCATCATTCATACTAATGCAAACAGTACATAAAAAATGCTAATTTACGCAGTTGAACTTTTAGATAAAGAGGTTGTCATTGCAGTGAATGACTTCAGTAACTGCAAATTTCATTAAAGTATTGTAAAAAAAAATTTGTATGTAAATATTTAGGCAAGAATAATAGAAGGTGGACTTCCATATTAAACAAAGATTAGTAAAGCTGTGGACTCAAGTATATAAATAAGGTCTGCTTCAGCATTGCTTATCGTCTCCTTCATTGTAATCTACTCAGAGTCTGAATCCTGAGTGACATGTTCTCCAGCTCCTGCGTGTTCTTGCAGACATAGTGGAATGATGGCTTGTAGTGTAAAGACAGGGTTTAAACCCAGTGTCCTGCTTTGTGTTGAACACTCGAATCTTCTTATAATGAAATTGCATCTTACACGAAAATAGGTTCGTTATACTAGAAAATTTGTTATAAGGGTATAGTTCTAACATTGTATCTACTGCAAGACTATTCTTCATTTGCTTCGTTATAGCCACTATTTCGTTTTATCTGGGTTCATTGTGTCGAAGTTTGAGTGCATGTAGTTTGCTAGCATGCTATCCCACTTTCCTGTGCAGATGACGTGGAGGATGAAGAGAAGGCAAAGTTTCTAAAGCACAACTATGAGTGCTACGAGGAGGCCAAGCGTCGCCTGCAGAACTGGGAGTGTCCACCTGAGTACCAAGGTGAGCTTCACTGAGAGGGGCTTAACACAATCGAAGCGTAGCTGCTGTCAACTGCGAACTTGCCGCTTCAGGGCTAACTTCTTTATAGTATTGTAGCGAACATGATCTGCCTTGTCGGTTAATTGCAAGAAGTAACATAGCAAAGTCCACTTGATTGTTATGGTTGGCCAGTGTCTGCTACAGCAGTGTCACACCTCGTTTGTTTTGCTTCAGTGTGTCACTGCCTAGGCACATTACGAAGCTTTTTTCAAACATTGACATAGAAAATCTTTTTCCTTTTGGCTGTCTTCACAAGACTGGCCACTAAAGAATGTGCACTCTACTTCCAATGTTGAGAAAGCTGGTTGTTTTTGTAAGTTGTACATGTGATGGTAATCTACTTCTGCAATTTCAAGTAATAAAGTTGGGGTTTCAATGTTACAGCAGTAAAAATTACTGCACACTTCCCAGAACAGTGGTACGTTTATGAGGAGTGTTTTCTAGGCTTGTGTAAAATATACTACATTTTAAAATTTACTATACTTTGAGCATATAAGCCTATATATCAACCCTTTAAACAAAAAAAAGATTAATCGTTAGGATAGTAAGTTCATTTAATTGTAAAGTGGGGCTTTGCCACAGTCTAATTTGCTTTAGGTAGGGGTTATCATGGCTTAGCACTCTCTTGCTGCTGTGAAACGACCTCTACAGGCGGTCGAATGCTAATACACTTAAACAGCTGTTCTCACGGCTTAGCTCCCCTCCACTGCTATGAAGCGACCTTTACAGGGTCATGCGGTTAACGCATATCTATGCGGTTAATGAATATCTAATGCATATGCGGGTTAATGCATATCTATTCGTTCATCTGGAATACTTCAATACTTTAAATTCAAATCGAAGTGCATTCGAATACTGTAATATCCATTTGAATATTCAAAACATTCGAATATTCACACAAGCCAAATGTTAGTCTACTATCCGACCAGTAGTTGTGATCAAAACTGCTGCCCAACATAGAGATAGTGCTGAGAGTATATCTTCTGCGCTGCCTTCACATGGCATCATGCGTGGTTGCACATGGATAATCACAATGAACGTCTGCCAATGTCAGAATGCCATTTTTTTTTTCTTTAAACTTTTTTATGGCCATAATTACTGCAACATCATTTGTAATTTTGTAGGCACTATCCTCTTTGAGCTGCCTGCATATGGCGCACACGATGCATGTCGCATTTCACTTCAGCAGAAGATTGCAACATAAGGAAAAGTTTGTGGATTCACTCCTCACTTGAAGTGTGTAATGTCCTATTAGTGAAGTTTTCTTTTCTCAAGGTTACAATCTTATAATCTGTATCACGTCTTCATTCTATATTTTATGTGGTGCCTGACACTTGTGAACTTTATTAATTTCAAAGCATGCAGTTCAGCCGCTTTAGAAAGTGTTACATTAGTAAAATTTATAGTATTGGATGTTTTACTTTAACAAGGGAGGGGGGAGCATGTTTTTTCGGGAAGTTATTTTCTCAATCCCAGTAGTATTTATCGACTTATACAGTCTGCTGTGTTCATTGCGTCATGAAAAGCAGTTGATATTTTCTTAAAAAATTATTGAGAATATTGTTATCAGAAGCAGTTGATTACTACAGTCGAATCTCGTTAATTCGAACTCGAAGGGGCCCAAAAATTTGTTCGAAGTAAAAGAAGTTAGAATTAATGAAAGCTAAGCAAACGGAGGGCTCCCCATGCATAGGCACATGTGCATTGAGCTAACACACGAGGGGGCCCTGCTGCGGTGGTCTAGTGGCTAAGGTGCTCGGCTGCTGACCCGCAGGTTACGGGATCGAATCCCGGCTGCGACGGCTGTGACGGAGGCAGAAATTTTGTAGGCCCGTGTGCTCAGATTTGGGTGTACGTTAAAGAACCCCAGGTGGTCTAAATTTCCGGAGCCCTCCACTACGGCGTCTCTCATAATCATATGGTGGTTTTGGGACGGTAAACCCCACATATCAATCATATCAATCAATTAACACACGAGGGGGAAGTTTCAGAAGACTTACATTTATTCACAAATCACAGGACATTCGTCATTAATTGAAGTAATCGGTCATGTGCGTCTGCACACGTTTGCCTTGCAGCGAGTCAATCAATTTCGCACGCAGCTTGCAAAGCATGTCTAATTCGGCTTCAGCATTTTCCTGGCCAGAAAAGGTGCGCGTGGCTATGTACAGTGCCAACACTCTCACACACACATGCCACCGATCTTTCGAAGACCGGTCAGCCATCTACCCCGTTTTTGATCACTGGTACTGTCGTTAACGTCACCGGCCTGGAGTGACCAGGCAATTTGCCAACATCGTCGGCCACCAACTGTATCCGACAATGACTGCATCTCCGCTACTAACCTCTGTGCCAAAGCCACAGCGTGGCCAGCACGTGACGAGAAAGGAGGAGCGGGAGAGAAGCAGATCGGCATTGGAGAAAAAACAACACTCCATGGGAGCTTTCTTTTTGCTCTCCTTGCGCGCGTTGTTCAAAGGAGAAGGGTTACATGGCAGGGACAGGAAAGGGGAAAGCGTGACACCGGCACGTGAGAGAAAGCCACACTCTGTGACAGTTTTTTTTTCCTCTCTCTCTCTTTGTGCGCGGCGTTGGAAGGAGAAGGGTCTTTACACGGCTGGGGCGGAAAAAGGAGGAGCATGGCACAGGCGTGTCACAGATTGGCATTTGAGAGAGAGCGAAAATTCCACCGCAGCCTTTTCTTTCCTTTTCCTTTCCTTCACGCGCATCGTTCAGGTGTCGGAGGTGCCGCCGCGGGATTGGGCAGGGTGCTGAAAGCATTTTCGGAGCACGGTATGTTCGAATTAACTGTCGCAAGTGCTTGCGCGTTCGGATTGCCGGGTATTTTCGCCCATTGAAATTCACATAGCTTTGACAGGACCTCATTGTGAGTTCGAATTAACCGAAAGTTTGAATTAAGCGTGTTCGAATTAATGAGATTCGACTTTATAAGCAGTGGGGACATGCATTGTACTTGTAACATTGCAACCATCAGAGGATGAGAAAGTAGCAGTAGTAGACGTAGACGGAGCAGGCATAGTCTGTTGACACTTTAGGGTCTGTATGATGGAAAAATGGTGTTGGGAATATATAAAGGAGAAGTTATTGCATGCAGACAATCTTTGCTCCAGCCTAAAGGTTAAGGCTGGGTACTGTACTGGCATGTGAGTGCGTCACTTGCCAAACAGATGTCGTCGTCTTCCATTGGGCTTTTGAGCTCTGGCAATGATAATGCGAAATGTCCCTGGCTGTATATGGCTGTATAGAAGTGTTTGGTGATGCGTTCAGATAGGTGGGGCCAGTAAACACACATTTATGGCATGCTTCGTGTAGTACCCTATTGCAAAAACAGCATGATGCCAGTATGTTTTTTGGCACTGGTACACGCTTATAATCACTGGCACTTTGCTGGGCGCACTGGGAAAAAGCTGTGTCGCGCTGGCTCAACCGCTGTAATGCTGGTGCGCGCTGCGGACCGCTGGAATTTTCACTGGCAAGCGCTGGTGAATACTGGAGCACGCACTGTTTCCAGCGTGCACGTTATTGTAGCATGTGCCGTGGTATGTTTCGGTGTCATTGAATATAAAACGCTTGATCCGACGGCACGGAGAGATGCTACCCTAACAGATACCGAGCATATGTAATTTTTGCGGTGCACGTATGTATCGCAGCAATTATAATGCACCTTTTTCGCATATGCTCCCGTGTATACCGGCCATATTTGCATCATCTGTGTATTGCTGTAACGATTCCAAGTTGCAGAGTTTGTAAGCCTGGAGCTGCACGCCACTCCTAACAGAAACAGGAAATTGCTTTTGCCGCAAAGTTTACGAAACGTAAATGAGCTCTCTCGATCGCTTTGTAAGGTTTAACAGCGGAGGCAAGAAAAAAGCTGTTGTTCAATTCCGCCACACCGCATAAATGCATGTCTGGCCATGCTTATCCTTCTACTTACTTCATGTGAGAGTTAGAAATGTTCCTAAGCTCAAATGCAGAATCTTCATCAATCCCAACTTACCACGTCGAGAGCGGTCTTACCAGGTGCCCGGCCCAGCGTGCATTAAACCTGTCATGCCGGTCACGTTGGTATATATTGACGCGTGTGTACTGGTGGACAAAAACAACGATAAAAGGATTTGGCGGACACCAGGTAGAGGGGCTCTGGCTGATCGAAGATAAAGAAGGTGATCTTGCTGTTCGGCTGCTGAGAGTCGCTGTGTCAACATTTATCTGCCTTTGGTTCGCGCTGTACCGCGACACTGGTGGAGGTGCTGGGCCGCAACCCTACCTAATGCTCCATACTCCCACTGGGAGCCGTTCATCTACCTCGGACGCATTGTCACCCTTTGCAACTCCCGTGCACTGGTTCAGTCGGTGGCTGATAGGCCTCGCTCCTGAGTTCACTCCTTCCATGGAACCTAGCAGGCGCCGATTACCTCTCCAAATGGCCAACGCCAGTCCGCAACCAGCGCCCCAAGGCCCCCCGCCAACACAACCTTCACAGGTAACCATCTTTCAACCGCTGGTTCCCGATCACTTTAGTGGCGGCGTCCATGAAGATGTTGGCGACTGGCTTGAGCACTATGAGCGTGTTGCCAAGATTAATCTGTGGCCTGAACAAGAAAAGCTCTCACGCGCCTATTTCTACCTTGACGGCGGTGCAAAAATTTGGTTTGAGAACAGAGAAGCCAGTCTGTTAACTTGGGGCGACTTCCGACAACAGCTTGTCGACACGTTCACCAATGTCGATCGACGTGACCGTGCGCAGCAGCTGTTGGAGCTACGGGTTCAAAAACCCAATGAAAGTGTTACTATGTTTGCTGAAGATATGACTCGTCTTTTTCGTCGAGCTGACCCGAACATGAGCGAAGATAGGAAGTTGAGCTACCTCATGCGCAGCGTTAAAGAGCAACTTTTCGCCGGGCTACTGCGCCACCCTCCAAGTACCGTAGTTGACTTTA